GGGGAGGCTCTCATCCGGTAAGAGGGGGCATAGCTATCTAGAGCATTTCAAACCATGTTGGAATATTAGAAAAGCGCAGTACTCTCGGGTTCGAAGCAGGATCTGTCTGGGACTCGTTGGTTTAGTATTCAGAAATAGATCATCCACATTACATCATTGGATCACACAAGTACGGTCATAGGTACATACGCAAAGGCGCAGTCGTTCTTATTCAAGATTCTGTGTTTATTTATCCAATGATGCTTTTGTGATGCATTATTTTATATAATAATGTCTTCAACAGGCGGACGATGGGGACCAAGTTGTCCGTGTCTATCGAGGGTGCAACGAAGCCTGAAATTGCACCACGGGTCGATCGTCCTCCCACATTTGATCCTCAGTATGGATTTGAAAAACCGAGAAAGGTACTACTTTCATTTTTGTACATCACAATGATTTTATTGGTGTTAACAGAAACTTAAACTAGCAAATGTTTTAACTGTTGCTCTGTGTATTTTATTTCTTTATTATCACATAATAATTCATATTCGTAATGTCTACTTTTGTCTCAATTTTAGTGTATGCTCGGGAATGAACAGGGTATAAGTGGTGTGGGGGCAAGTGGTGTACCTTTCATGCAAAGGGATCAAGGGTCGAATTACGGGTCTTTCCAAATCTGAACAAACCTTTGAGGTCACGAATGTTTATTTGACTTGTGTGGGAGGAAGAAAACAGTAACTTGTGCATTAGCTGGCCTTTGCAAGTCATCGTTATAATTAGTTTAGGCCCTTAGGCCTCTCTTTTTAATTGTTACAGGAATGCATCTTGCCATATGGGTATGTCAAATTGATTTTATTTCATATTAGGTGAGAGAGATGAAGGCTACGTGGGAAGAAATGGAGCAATTCAAATTGAAACCCGGTCAGCGTGATTACTGTGCTCATCATTTGATTACGCTCATGAAGTGCCAGGTACTTTTGTTATGCTTTGTATGGCTTTCTTTCTCTAAGGTTCTTTCCATTCACTCGAACGAGATTCCTTCCTTTAGCTAATTTAGCATTCCATCACTTCAGAAGACATTCAAAGTGCTGCTTTCAGAGAGCCAACGCTCCGTTTGCCGGGCACCTTTGTGACGCTGAGCGAGGCGCCTGGGACAAATGCGAATATGAGGACTATATAATGCGCATAAAGGTGGGAATTTCTTACAAATTAGCTTTCGCATATTTGATTTTCTGTTCGGTATGGTTATCGTATGCGGCTTGTTTCTTATCCGTTGCACCAACTTTCCTTGAACGTTTTGCATGAATTGTCGCGTACGTTTCTCATTGCCTTGGATACCTTAATGTCCGTTCCTCTTCGAGATCGCCATCCTTTGCAGAAAGATCTGTGCCATTCGTTTTGATCTATTCAAATATTCTTTAAAAGGATCACTCCACCTAGCTGGGGGTCTTCCCTGCCATTTTACTCTAGGGGCATAACGATCGGTCAATCGGGACGCTTATTGTTAGGAAGGTTGTAGAGAGAGAAGAGCATGTCCTGCCTATCGCTTCTTTGAATCATAAGCAATCTCGGAGATATCTTTGACACCGGTTCGCTTTCAATCTCACGGGCCAAATTTTGTGCATTATCGTCACAGCGCACTCTCCTTCCATTGCGCTTTTGGGCAGATCCCAATTTTCACTGCTCTTCTTTAGTTACGTCCATGGGGCGTTTCTATATCTCGAAGCTTGGAGGCACGAGCCGTCGAACACTCGAGCCTTATTGAGGCGGTATAGCCGCTTATCAGTAAGAAGGCACGTATCCTATAGGCTCAGCTCACGCGAAGGGAGATGCCAGTTCAGTGCCAACGCAGTGTTTTGCATGTTGAACATTTAAACGAGTGCCGTTACGATTTTTAGAGTATTTTGAGCTTTTTCTGGCTCGCCAATTGAGTATCAGTTTGACATCAGCGTTTATGTGACGAAAAACATTTTTCTGTATTCGAATGCATTGTATTTCAGGAGTTCGAGCGCGAAAGACGACTTTTGATGCGGAAACAACGCAAGGAAGCTATGGCATCAGCATGAATTCGTGGTTAGGAAATAGACGTAGAATTATCACCTTTCATTCTGTTTGCTGGGTTCAACTGTATAGCAAATAAATCTCTACTCATACCGGTGATTTATGGGTCAACAATGTAAATCCATCATATCGGATACTGCCTGTATTAATTGATTTGGCTGTTGATCACTATTGTTGCCACACTTTGCTATGCGATTATTATCACTACCAAGGTGCTGGTTTATTGGCAAAACGTTAGGTTTTGTACGAGACCTAATATCTGCCTGTTTTCTTTTTCGACAAGACGTTGTAAGTGGCAGGTTTGAGCGCGCGTAATACCGAATCTTTGCTCAAAACTGCACCCCCTTTATAATATCGAATAACGTTGCGTAACAAATCGATACGTTCTGTTCATTTCAAGCTGGAATGGAAAGACTGATAGAGGAATGCGAGCTCAGTTGTCCGGACGAGAAGCATTAGGTACAAGTTTGCTGATGTGGAAGGGCTTGTGCGTAGGATGTGAGGACATGTTCGACAATTTTTGAGTGTTGATTTAATAATTAAAAAAACAAATCGAGTTGGAAGTATTTGGTCAATGCAGTAGCTTACTGGAGCTGTTCGATTGCAAAACGACGTACTCATAATTTCCGGTGAATGTAGTAGTAGCTTACCACTCGGAGTTAGGCAGTAGATTCCAGTCGGAAGTCTGACACTTACCCATTGATGGCTGACTGGTCCGGGCGGAATTTGACTGAGATAATTTCCTGAACCATAAGAGGGGTGAAGGTGACACAATTTCGCTCTACATGTTTCCACTAGGCCCTCAACTCGTCACCACTCCTCAATTTCTGTAGCATTGTATCATGCTTATGTATTGCAGTGTTGCTCCAGGATTCTTCTATTAACGATAACAATCGTGGTTGGCGTACATATGTGGTTTAAACATGTTCTGTTGTCCCTATTTTTAAACAAAACGCCCATACATAACATGTTTTCCATTGTTTCTCAAATTGTTTGTACCCGCCTCAAAACATTGTGCATACTCTAGTTTCATTTTAATTCCTCAACATGTCGTAATTTCATTTTCAGGTTTTTGAAAAATGCCTCGCGTTGCTTCGACCAGACCGTAATGAGCGTGACAAATCATGTGGATGGCTACTAATGTCAAAAGCTCTTGAGAAGTTTGTATTTTTCCTGTCAATTTCTACGTGCTGTACTCGTTGCATATCTTTGATGTTTTTTAAAACACATTCACTTCGATGGCAGCCCAGTGAATAATCGCCTGCCAACCTATTGTCGTGATTTTTTGCACGTTTTCGATCAAATCTCAAAAATAACTGAATTTACTTTGTGCTGTTTGTGTTTTTTTTTGACTGCATAAAACCCACAGATGTGCGTTGGAATGGGGTAAAATCGCGTCCGCCCACTAAAAAGCAGACAAGGGCGCCGTCGTGAATGTGTTGAAATGTGCAGCAGTTTCTTTATAAGTATTTTTCCTGTAACTGTCCTTTCTTCATTATTTTCCTGTTGTTGTAGATGTAGTCCTCAGTGCCTTCGAGCTACGCAGTCACGTCTTGGAAAGAAATTAGCTGATGTAAAAAATGATCCAAACATTCATAATGGTATTTTCCTACGGCAGTTACTCATTCGAAATCCACAGGTAAAGTCCTAATCACTTAGTCGGTGAAAGCTGTATATTTAATTGCATGCGGCATCTCTCGGCAAGAATTTCAAACGTGTAGTCTTTGCATTTCTACATTTTTCTTCCGTAGTGCAATGGATATACCTTTCGGTTTCATTACTCAATTTTTTCGACGCCTTTTCCTTCTGAGGACTCGTTTCAGGTGGGAAACCTTCACGCGGAACTCGTTCAAGATATAATACTGCGATTCATTGACATGGCTGTGAGCAGTACCGATACAACTCTAAGGCAAATTCCAACAAATAGGGCGACATCCTTAATCCTCGTGAAAGATATCAACTTGTTTCAGGAGATTATGCACTGAGCTATACTCCATTCGATATGGGTGCGATCCACAAATGTCTGAAAGGCTTTTGGCCACGCTTTCCGCTGCAATTTCCAATCGTTTGTTATCGCAGGAGGAGCGAGCAGGTTTGTGATGAGAGCAAAAATGGGGTTTATTTACACAAGTGGTAAATTTGAAGAATCATCCACTTTTTCCGATTAATTGCATGAGAGTCAGCAAGCCAGCATATATAATACCATAGTTTTAATATTGATATTTCAGTAGTACTGAACCTCAAATCATTTGGAATATCATCTCTGCGTATCAATCTTTGCACACTTCTTTTCGAATTGTTATCTGCAGCTCTCGCTCACGCTAAGCCAGGTACGTTTCATTCACTTTGGTGTATGTTTGCTTGTTGTGTGTGAGAGTGAGCTGCGTCTTTCATTTTAGGTCAATACATTGCTCGCGATCCTTTTGTAAGTATTTTGGATGAAGCCCTTAACGATCCTCAGCTTCGCGATGCAGCTTTGACAACCATCCAGTCGATCTGTAGCAATGCAAGATCTGCAATGTTGCCAATGGTAAGCCATCAAACTGCACTTGTCTTTTTTCGTTATGAATTTACATTGAGTAGGGAGGACCAACACTCATACCCCATGATATCGAACAGCGTAATGATTCTGCCTTAGATTTGAAACAGAGCCGGCTAAGGTCGGCCCTACTCGGGCGTTTCTGATATGTTCTTATTGAAGTGTTATAGTGTGCTTTTTTTCGTGTTTAATCGTAATTTTGTTTTTGATGAGTTTGAGATCGATTTGTTTGAATTTCTATTCTTGCTAAAAATGGGACCCATAGCTTCTTTCGCGGAGACTACAGATTGGTCTTTGCGATTAAAGATATGTTAGAATAGGCTCGACTAACGTGTTCTCTAATGCTGATTTCAGGTATCTCGAACGGTATTAATGTTAATTTCCAAACTGGATTCACCCAGTAGTGTTTTGTACGATACTTTGGCTCATATTTGTCGGCTCTACGGTCCAGGCTCAACACTATTTCGACATTTATATCAGATTTTCAGTGCCATGAACCATCCACTAGATGAGCAGGTAGTTTTTGTTCATTCCATATTAAAATTGCTAGGAGTCTGCATATGCCGGTCCATTTTTCTTTACATATTAAAGTTCAAAAATTAAGTGTATGGGAGAAATTAGGGTTTGATAAAATTTCTCTGTAGCAAATTTCTCTGTCTCTGCTGTCTAGTGGATTTGTCAGTTTAGTAGGGCAGTCTTCTTTTTTTTCTTTGGGCGTTATTGGACGTGAAGATTTTTGCTAGTGATATGTTTTGTTGGCGACTAATTCCCTCAGTGCAGAAATTTGAGTTCATACCTAGGTACGCTATAATTTTCATATTCCTTAATTTGTAATTCCAGAAATATGGCTTATCGGCAGGTCGTTTATTGTCTGCAATCGTTGAAACTTCGGCATTCTTAGTCAAACCAGAGGTAAGTACCCTTTTTTCATCTCACATCTCGTTTTCGGTGAATATGTTGTATTACTATAGGTACTATTGTCTATCCAAAGGAAAATTTGCGAGGAAGTGGTGCGCAGGCCGGAATCCCTCGTGTATCATGGCTATATTACATCTTTCTTAGTTAAGCAGCCACGATCTGGTCTCCTCTGTAGCAGGTTGGATCTTATTGATTCCCTTCCTGTTCGGTACTTGATGATGTTTGTTTAAAGTTATTCACTCAATTTTAATATTTTTGAAGTTATTTACGTTCAGATCGCTCGCACTGTCATGGCTAGGTGTTCGGATACGATTGACGTGCAAAGTCTCCGACGCCTATGTGAAGTCATTACAAGACCAAGAATCCAGGTGCTAGTGCAGTTAGAAATACAGAGATTTTGCGGCTGGCATGAGTGGGTTCCTGATCGGTTCTCTCTAGGGGGTTTTTTTCAGGTAGAAATGTCAGTAATTGCGCCCCTGTTTTGCGCAATAAACGTCTGGACGCCCGGCCGCTATTGTCTTAGAAAGCTAAATTTTTATGAAGTCGTTATATATAAGAGAGTCATTCAGCTCAGCAACATGTGTCATGAAACTGAGAGTTTTTACCTATTTAGTCAGAATACTCTTTTATTATGAACGCACAGTGATAATTTTTGGTCGCTGCTATGCCTGTTTTAACGGTCTATAGACGTGTAAATTTTGTCATGGCACTTGGGATATTGCCTATTTATTGGGCGTGCTTTTTTTGTTGATCCATTCATTAGTCCAATGTGTTCTGTAGTATGAAGAAGAAATTCATCGCGGATGTGCCCGTAATAAGTGCTAGGTAACAAAAGGGGAGGGGGGGGGGGGGAGGGGAGGGAAGCACCAAGTAGTAGCGTTTACAACGATGGGTTCCTGGGGATCAAATCCTGAATCGAATCCAAACGAGATTAATCGAGACAGCAGCAAGTTAGTCCATGAGTGCTACAAATTGGTGTGAGAGGATCAGAACAGTGACTGCTTCAGAGGCTGGCAACGAGGCATGGCATAGGCTAGATCGCAAAATGTCCTATCCTGAATCCTGACTGGAAGTTTAGTACGCATCCCAAAAAGATTGATTAACGCGTAATCCCCTATTTTATTAACTGTCGTCCCATTACTCATCGAGTTCTTGGAGCAGGCGCCGGTCACGTCTCCATTCTTCCCTGCCAGAATGCTCCTTTGGATGTTGGCATCATTCGCTCTGTTTGCGCTGTATTCGATATGATGAGCACGATGTTGTCAACAAAACGGAGGTGGTGTAGCTGCCGGCCGTCTACCTTCACTCCTACTTCTTCCCATTCTAGTTGACGCATGTCGCTTCGAGGGAGACGCTAAAAGTTTGAGAGATAATGTCCCCTGTCGATCGCCTTCCGCCCTTCACAGTTGACGGATGTATCTGCCTCGTAAACGGAAGTCCTCGTCTGTCGAAGTTGCTGCTTAACGTCACGGGATCCTTATGCACTGGTCGAAGGCGTCTGATGTTGCCCAGGGCCGATGACTGCTTCTGCTTTCACCCGAAGGGCTTCTTCGAGTCGCCGAAGGTAGGACATAGCGGCATATTCAAATCTTCGTAATTCTTCGATGATCTCATAGCCATGTGAATATGGTCGATAGGGCAAAAATCCTTTTCAAAATCTTGCTTGCCCACATGTCTGCCCTTCATGCAGTGTCCTAACCTGTCCAGGGTGACTACGAGTTGAAACTTATGTGGACTGTGGGTTTCACCCGGTTTAGACAGCTCGACGAAAACCAGAAAGCAACTTTATTAGAAAAGAACAACGAAACAGAATACAATGTGTAAAAAACACAAAAAAGGGGGGTTGAAGTCGGCCGGAGCCGATGCAGAAGTTCTTCCTGACGTCCTGTGGCGTCCCTTTTTATATCGGTCGAGATCTCTTGCTGTCCGGCGCGTCTTCAGCGTGCCTCCCGCGCGATCTGCTACGATATGACCTATCGATCCTCTTCCAATCTCCCCACATCCTCCCCCCACGGGGAGCCGGCGTCCTCGGCGGCGGGACCTCCATTGGTACAAGTTGGGGGAGCTTCGCGTCTCTGACACGATTTCTGATGCACTCATAGAATGCCTTAGCGCTTCCGACCGTAACGTTTTTTCCATAAAAATCAAGACAGCCTTCGGGAGCTCCAGCTTCAATGAATATCTTACCACCTTCTACTTTGTGGTTTGCCGTCAGCATAACCTGTCTTGGTGCCGCTCTCTTTTGCAAATCGTCATCGAGGATTTGCCACATTTCCGAAAGGCCTTTCCAAGTCACCAAGTTCGATTCCATCAAGGGTGGCCATACCGAAATGATTCGTCCTCCTTCCTCTAGGTGTCGGTGGCATCTTTGCAGTGTTTCACACACTAGCGGATCCGTGAAATAGACGTCCATTGGCCACACAATGATCCACGTAGCGCACATCTTGAATTCATCAAGTACAGTCTTCAACTTATCGAACGTTGTCGCTACTTTCGTGATGATCCCGCGACTGGGGCCATCTCGCTCCAACAGAAGTGCATTTTCAGGTGCCGCGAACCCAGTTGGGCCTTCCTTCTTCGGCCGCTGTTGCTTCTCTCGATCTTCGACTTCTTTCTTCACGGCTTTCAAGGCCTCGTCGTAAGCGCTGTCAAAACAGTAGCCTTGTATTCTTTCATGCTTCTTGATTCCGTCTGTCACGTAGACAAATTCTGTCCAGTCCAGGCAACAATCGTATGCGAGACGCAAGATTTTCTTAAGGGCTCTCACATCTAGGCACACCATTTCTTTTTTCCACGATGCGATCTTCTCCGCTGTGTTAATATCGGTCCTCATAAAGATGCTCGCAGCATTCCAGGCTCTCCAGAGTGTTCCGATGGGTTCTCTTGCAAAGGCTCCTGGAAAGGGGACGTCTCT